AATGTTTCATGTTTTGTATTTTGTGATGTTCTTTGAAGAATATTTATGACTCATAGTTATATATATATAATTAGTGTAACATCATCTAAACAACCATAGCACAGTAAATCACCACATATACGATATACGCCAACTAAAAAAATTACATTCTTTGGAGAACCATGTTTTTATGTCTAATGTTTTATTGATAACCATAATTCAACGTCACAAAAATTGCATAATCATTTATCATTAATTCTGATTGTTATTATTGTTAATCACATACACACTGGAATCTAGCTTCGTATTCCCAATTGCACTGCATATACGCTGAGTAGCAACACACACATAGTGATCGCATGTTATAAAAAAACACGAAATGTATAAGTGTGACCAAGTAAATTAGTTACGTCATCGTCTATGCTGTGCATTTGGAAAAACCAAAACACGTCCACTATACATTGTATATTGGTAATAAGATAATTTACATATATTACAAATATGAATCATCACAATAGAATTATTCACAAAATCTCATATAATAGTACTATAAGCAAGCAAATACATTCAGACTACGTACAGTTCAAACACAAAGTATGTACTTATGCTACCGAAAGAGGGCGCTACATAGACGGCAGCTGAAGGCTAACCTAGTATATTCATGTTATGCAGTATGAGGGTAAACATCATTGAAAAATATTATTTGTATCCGCATTTACGAAAATACGGTGTATAAATGCCTATCTGAAATATTGAGTAATTATTTCAAAATAGTCACCATAAGTATAACGATATAAGATTGTTTATATGGTATCACTAAAATTCATGATTGCATGCGGCTTTACAGACCCAATGTACAATTCATGTTCACCGATACTCAAACAATAAAACAGCGTTCATACCCTCTATTGGCAGCTGCACCAAGAACATCAAACTAACATATTATACGTCAATTTAAAGTACAATGACATTGTTCTAAGACCCCATAATGATATATGTTTCTGATTACTGATTTAACAGCTAAATGTGCATGGATTTATTGATTCGCCTTGATGAAAATTGTATGAATCACCATCATCATTATTCTTCCAAGGACGCTCGTATCTGACTGTTGACTTCAACGCTATCATGTGTCATTTGAAGAAAGAATACAAAACATTTTACTCGCAATGTTCTTTACTATCAAACAAGATATCAGAAACACAACATGATTTGTGAGGCTCGACACAACGAGAAGTGTGAACTCCTATATACATTTCTAGTATAATATATTAAGTACAACCAAGGATAGAATAGTATGACTGTGTCTCGTACGTGGTGATTACGGGAATGACTGTCACGTACGAGTGCCAATGGTGTTGCATTTTGTATGTGCTAACTGTGGTTACCCCTTGCATGGTATTTTCTATGAATTGGACAGATTTGCCAGAAACAGTATTCATTAATTGCATATTACACACGTCTTCAGACTGGCAGCGTAGATGTAACGAACGCTCTATTCTCAATTGCATTACATATCCAAAACTCATTTCGTCAAAATCTGCATACAATAAACAAACAGTTAATTCATTTGAAATGTACAAATTTAAATTTTAGTAACTGAAAGTGGTATTGAATATAATTAAATATAACGTGATAAGCGAATCATCGAAGCACAGTCAAAACATGAAACAATGACACAATTGCTTAACAGACTAGACTCTATTAATGATATTAAAAAACAGATCTTGCAAATAGCATTTGTTTGGACCCGCTCTAATGAATTACATAAAAGTGCTTTCATTAAAATGTACAATTATATTTTGATTTCAAATATCGTATCCCGAAGTGATGTCACTTCCGTGTGTCGCATAACATTTTGAGTTACTCTATTATAAAACAAAATGGCGACTAAAGTTCCATAGAACACAAACACGTTAAATCTGTCTAATTCACTCAAAACAATTTCTGTCGAAAAATTTAACATGATAATATTCAAACACCTAGTATTGTCCATTCGACTAAGGTCTTCAACTTGACAATCGAGATTTTCAGAAGTGAACAACTGACATCCGATCACGTACGCCGTCACACAGCTTTTGAAATTAACGCCAATCTACGGCTTCGACGGTCAAGCACAAAACACGTTAGTGTCGCTAGACAAAATCTAATAAAACATTTATTGCTTTTCCTATGTAATTAAATGCCGTTTTGACAAATACCGAGCTAAATATTACTTATAAACAGATCAATAACAAATTAACACATTTCGCCCTGGGTATGTCGACACTACTTCGACGTAGGACAAAATATTAATTCCCCGAATTTTGTTATATAAAAGAAGATACCAAAATTGTTGGCCTACTACAATATGGAGTATGCCCTGTAGTTGATAATGAAATACATCCAGAAATAATAAATTCAAATATACTCAATACACAGAGTCTAGTTCAAGTAACAATTCATTTAAAATTTTGTTGGTTATAAAATATTATACACACAACATTCCGATCTTTATTCTCCTGCATAATCACACTGTGTGACTGCTTCTGGGTCACTTGCCCTTAAAATTTGTCATATCAGACTCTAATCATACGTTGCATGATTGTTTGAATATCCCATAATATATCCCTTGCAAAATAGTTGCATTGTATATGAAATAGCCGGGAGATTTCGGCTTACCTCTTGCACGCTGTATGTTACACGCTGTGATGTCAAAAATTCAAAGAAAAAAAGAACAAACTATAAAAACAAACAAACAAACTAATATATTTACTACACATATTGAAATCAATTAATATTAAGGAGTTATTCGTATCCGTATAAATGTTGCTATCCTCGGGGGCGGAGCTACGTCACGGACGTTCTACGTTGCTAAGACGCGCACCACAGTACCACGTATTTCTATGGGCTCTGTGCGCGCTGCTGTGGAACGCAGGTGGAGCCAGTGAAAACTCGAGAAAACAACACAAACTCAACTTTTAAGTAATTCTGAACAACCAAATTCATATATGTTACACACGTAGGGCTAATCTTGTTACACTGTTCAGGGGACTCTCAACAACCATCGCAAAGTACCGTTTTCTGCGAGTTTTTGGTCTTTGTTTTCACCGCGAGGGTTGCCAGGCGGTAGAAAATGCCCGGATGTCCGCCCCCGAGAATTAACCGTTGTCTGATATCCCTGGCATCTCAGTGCGTGTTGGGATATTCATCGTTTGAAAATCAATATGGACGAAAACGTTTAGAACCAAACTTGGTTAGATTTATTTAATATTATTGCATATGCAGTGATTGTTGTTGTACGTATCAACACAATTAGAGAATATACTTATTCCATGGAACAACTACTCAGCAATGTATTTCTTAAAAGCTGTATAAATAATTACATGTTCTCGTCCATATTGCATTCTTTATAGCACATACATTTAATATTTCGGAAATACACTCAACAACATAAGTATACACACAAAGCCCATATAACGCGGAATTTGAGAACAGGGTCGCTGAACTTTGCCATTGACATATTCATGTCTTCATTATATCATAATTTCACAGGTGTTGTCCAGTAATCGAACAATAATTAAGACTTCATTATTTTCCCCCTGTTTACAAAAGGGAAGTGATTCGTTTATATTTGCTTTATTGGGGGTACCAAGTGAATAGTACCGACACGATATACATTGTCAACAACATCCACGTGTGTAAGTGTTACAGTTGGCAGTTTTATGTACAATTTACGACTTTACGACATTTACGACTAAACACCTGGAGTATTGCCAGGGCGACCTATGTTCTACCTCACATTTTGAACTTGTGTGTGTATTCTGTGTACAAATCTACAATACTGTAACCACTATTTCTTATTACATATAACCTCATGTGTTCTGTGTAAATTCGTAAAACAATCTTTTCCGGCACTTACACATCTGCATGGTAAACAACGACAGTTCCATACACTTTTACAAGTGTTAAAAACACTGAACAATGGACATTTGTCTAGGAAACTTTATTCATGGCCACTGATGGCATATGTACTAACAAACTAAATACTAGTAATTGTTATATTGTTAGTACATCATTGTTGGTTACTGCATAAGTAATATCTACATCACCCTACACTAACAACGTATCCGCACTACATACCAGCTTTACTCTGTCCCACTTAACATGGTGTCTACGCTTAAAGGGCGGCAGTCGTCGCGCCGCGTCCTGTTCGATATGGGACTCATAGCAACGTATACAACGCGTGTAAAATACATTGTTTATTTACATGAAATCGAACACGCGCTGCGCGACGACCACCGAGCTTTAACGTTGTATTCGTGAGAGGGTCTCAGAAGGAGCCACGACGCTATTGTTTTAGCTTTACCCTATGTTCCGTTTGTACCTTCCATGTTAACTACCATCCCACTGCCTACCATGAGATATTTAGTTATATGATTAAATACCTTTACACGTGTCATTAAAGATTATAACTATTTTGGAATGTCTACGTCTGCGAGCTACCCCTTTCAAATATGTATTGCTATTTACCCGTTGTCTTGTAGATAGACCGAGCTTATTGACGCAAATCGAAACAAACACACAAAATATGCGATGTTTTCATGTCAGAATGGGTAATTTGATTCACCACCATGCCCAGTCTTTCAATAACGGCTTATTACTGCACTGAATAAAATTATTTATGTTATCCATTCATATTAATTGTCATCTGGAAGGAGGTTTCCAACAGATGTTCAGCTGGTTATGACAAAATGAGTTGTAAAATACGCAGAGTAACGCCAAAAAAAACACACACAAAAAACAACAACAACAAACAAACAAACAAAAATCAAAGAGGCGCAATGTAAACAAAATGGCGAAATTAAATAAAACTTAAAAGTTTTACTGGCTTTCAAAAACCGACTTAATCCACTTTGTTTCTTTTTATACTCATTTTAGTTTGTTTTTGAAAGTTATAATTTCGTACTCATCGCCTGTTTAACTTGTGCCGTTTGTTTACTACGTGTTATAATGGTGTTGACACGCTTTCATGGTCGTACCCGGCATTTTCGTTCCAGCTCGACGAAGGCTTGTTCCATTTCTTGTCCTTTAAGGTCTCGTCATAGCGTGGTGGCGCGTTCTCCGTGTTCGGTGTCAATCCTGACTGTAATGGCGTCATTTCGTGCGCAAGGTCATGCTGATCGTATTCGTCCAGTTGTTTCTTCGCCATTTTAGCCACGATTCCCGCGCCAATGGAGTCGCCCTCAACGTTAATCATGGTACGAATACGATCCCTGTGGAAATCAAAACAAAACCGGAGATTCAATAAACACGATACGCCACATTATATTGTTGTTTTACTAAGAAGGTGTCCATATACTAAAATGTTATCATAATGATGTGTGCAGTGGAAAAGAAAACATTAAGATGTTTTGACAGAGGAATTCCGTGAAATATTGTCATGTTTTTTGCTATTTGAATTTCAAAAACAAACTATTTTTCTGAACCTAATTGTTCTTCATACGTTGGTAGTTTTAATGACGATATTTTGTATAACACTGGAAACAAATTTGAACTTTGGAGAGGGTTAGCCCCTAATGGTGTTGTCAACAGTTTTGAAGATAAGTTTCCAAAAGTTTTCGGTCATGACCATTTTTTTTGTATTTACATTCACATTATTGGTAGAGTTGTTCTATTCGATATTAACAATTAGTTACTATGTTCATTACTCATAAACAGTTTGAATGGTTATGAATTTTAGGGGAATTCCATCTAAGTGAAGTGTGAACCATAAGAAAATACAACTGAACAATCATCTGCGACGACAATCTGGTGTACATGTTCTCTCTTCTGGGGACCTTCTAAAGAAAACACACAAACCCCGGAGGAAACCCCATGATTGCAAAGCCGTGTTTAACACAAATATTGGAGTTGCTAATGCAATACTATATGTCTCAGACTGAAACCATCACTTGTCTGTAAAGTACACCTGGCTAGATAGTATGTATTCGAGATGTATAACGAACACTGAGAAATGCAACTTACAAACCAAACTTATCCCATTTACTCATTGATTGTTTATGATGCGATGCATACTCTCTCCTTCTACTTACTTCGCACTCACGCCCACACACGTGCTCATCTAAATCATCGGGAATTTTAACTTACAGAATAATATCGACGGATAAGATAAGAGCTATATCTTCTAGAGGCAGCCCAACCGCCGTGAACACAATCACCATGGTAACGAGACCTGCTTGTGGAATACCTGCTGCACCAATGCTAGCAATAGTAGCGGTAATACTGTGGGGAAAATGTAATAAGACATATACTATCCTTGACTGATAATGGTTACGCCGTGCGTTCGTCCACCAGATTTAAAATTGAACCTAAAGTGTATCAGACTGATACACCACGGTAAGCTGTTGGTCTGTGAAGGGAATTGTAAACATTCATATACCAAATAAACATGAACAAAATAAACTAAACTGAAATAAAATATTGTTTGTAATGAACATCTAGCAGACACCGGTGATCGTGACAGCCAAGACTGCTCACGATTGACCGCTAAAAGCAATTACACATGATTAAAGTAATCTACATCAGCTATTTTAGAACTAGACAGAATTACTGCTGAGTGACCCCGGAGAATAGAGAACGAGGTAAAGCACCAGGTCATAGTAGCCAAGCTTTACAACGTGCTGAGAGAGTTTCCAAGCGCTCACACGTCATATCAGGCGGATGTATACTTAATGGGACCACCAAGTTGAGAGAGTAGTGAGATATATAGATATTATCAGCATCCCATAATATTATTTATTGACATGCGTATCAATTTTACTGCTTCCAATATATTACACGTTATAATCATGTTTGAGTGAACGCAGAGAAATCTGTCGTACACTAGTAAAAACTGTTCTTGGAATTCACGCGTATAAATTAGTCGGAGTTTTGCAGTCCGAAGTAGAACAGTCATTATATGACTGGCATAAATGATAAATAATCAAAACATTTTAATGTTTTGGCCGTAAAACATGATTTTTTAATCCCCTGTACATTTTGTCTGGCACGAATGCGCATTGGAATATTAGTCAGAGTGTCTCCATTGAACCACAGTAGTAAATAAAGGGACTGTGATTGAACGAATACTGTTATGTCTGCTGCCAAAATAAAGATTGTTTGAAAATATCATACCTTACTGTTTTATCAAGACGTAATGTGGAGGGGGGTAAACTTACTCAAAACTAATCAATAATATCAACATTTACTGTATCATGGCTAATTCAGGAACTGCATCAAGACAGTCACATGTGGATACGGCCGATCTGTTTTAGACATACTTTGTCGTACATGGTTTGATAATAAAGTAATTCTCACAAGTACATCGTAGAGTTTGTTTAAATAAACGCCCGCCATTAAAATAGTGCAGAGCATCGATAACAAGCACTTCATACGTCACGGCCATACTGGTGGCCATACCCATCAATATATATACAAAGTGTTAGTAAGCGTACCGCGCGAGTGTTCACTTGACGCCGCAACTACGGGATTACACAGACTTTGTTTAATCCCGAGCGCGACTCGTGATTGGAAACCAGGGTAATAATCGCTTTATTCGCGTAATAACTTAGCAATCAAGTCAAATATAAGATGATCTGTAAGAACTGAACAAAGTGTAATCTGTTTCTACATGACATCCAATTTATAGGTATACAAAAACATTATTAATTCAGATAATTACGCCTGCGACCTCACA